TGTTATTATAAGTTGTGAAATAGACTTTGTACAAGTCTAAAGCTTTTGAATGGAAAATTTGTTTTGAAGCAATATATAGTAATAATTTTGAATTTGTTTTGTTCTTTAAGAATAGACTGTCACATCTCATGAATTTTAGTGTTATAAAACTTGGGGTATGACAATTTCCAATCTTTACTAAGGCCTTATTTTTCAATATTATTGAATTATCTGTTAGATCATGGTGAAAGGTAAGCTTTGCCAAGGCTCATTTCCAGAGCACCATTCTGATAATTGAGAATATCAGTTTCAAATCTTTATTGAACACATATTTTCCTATCTTCTAAATCATGGTGAAAGGTAAGGTTTGGCGAGGGTCCTTTTCAAAGCACCATTCTGATAATTGAGAATGTTAATTTCCAACGTGTATTGAGCATGTGTTCATGTAATCATTCTGTTATCTACTAGCACAGTGTGAAAGGTAAGCATTGGCAAGGATCCTTTTCAAAGCACCATTCTCTGATAATTGAGTGTGTCAATTTCCTAGCTTTTCATATATTATTGCATCATGTCCTAAATCATGTGAAAGGTAAGCTATGGTGAGGATTCTTTCAAAGCACCATTCTGATAACTGAGAATGTTAATTTCCAATCTTCATTGAACATATCTTTTCAAATATTATTGTGTATGTATTATCTCCTGAATCGCGGTGAAATTTTAGCTTTGGTAAGGATTTATTTTAGTGCACCATTCTGATAATCCAGAATATCAATTCCCAATCCTTATTGAACCCATCTTATTGTATTATGTGCTAGGTCATGGAAAGACGAGGCTGACCATCCAATGCCAACAGATTTGAAGGTAAGAGTCCCGGCCATGCTGGTAATGGGCAATAAAGACTATGTCCTGAAACTCCCAGGAATGGAGGATTACATAAACAGCGCTTTATTGAAGGAGAATGTCCCTGATCTGGAGATCGTGTTCATGTCTGAAGGAACCCATTTTGTTCAGGAGCAACTCCCAGAACAGATCAATGAACTCATCATCAGCTTCATCAAGAAGCATATTTGATCGAATAAGTGATATGGGTCCTTATGTAAGAGATGGCATTGTGCCTAATGAATAACTCTGTACGCTCCTAGAGAGCAACAAGTAATGTTCCAGAAACTGTTTACGGTTAATGAAGAAAGGAAAGATCCTTTCAATGCAATATCTGATACTGCATTTTATATGGAGTTTTTTTTCTTTTTTTTAATATGTTAAGTTTATCAACTATAAAGATAAGTGCAAAGGGAGAAACATAAGGAAGGAGCTGGCCACCCACCAATGGGTTCTGACGTCCAACCGAAAAAATAGGCTATTAACAGACAGGTGCCCTATATAAAATTCACAGTTCACCAAAAAATCTACAGTGACATTTGAACAACAAAAAATGGTAAGAACCAAAGCTGAAGGAGGTAACGTGTGCTCAAAAAGGTGCTCAAACAGTTCCCTGAGTGGTAAGCAAATTGGCTTGAGAAAGTAAGGCGGCTGCCTTAGCGAGGGTGTTGGCTTCACCATTAGCTTCTCTCCAAATAAGTCTTTTTCCTAATCTGTTAACTTTGTATTAAGAGAAGAGAATACATTATACAAAATCGCACTGACCTAGATATAGTGGCACAAAAAAGAGAGACAAAGAAAAAGGAAAAGACACAAGCGTACCCATTACTAGAACTTAAAAGAAACAAAAACAAAAACCAAAAAGAGGACCAGAAAGCAAAGTTAGGGCACGGGCAGCAGTGCTCCTTGTTTAGCTAGGGTGTCGGCCACTTAATTGGCCTCCCTTCAGGTATGTGTCCATGAAACTTTAATAGACCTGCAAATGTCGAAAATCTCTCATAAAAAATGGACCAAAGTCTCCAAAGGGGGGGGGGGGACTCATGAGAAGCCCAAGCAATGACATTTTGGAATCCCCTTCTACAACCAGGACGGTGCTCCTAACAGGATTGAAGTTTATAAGTCCTTCCAAAAGGGCACCGGCTTCTGCCGTAGTAGCATCTTTAATGCCGATGTAGGACAAGTATTGGAAGAGGGTTATACCCAAGTTCTTCCTGTAAATGCCTCGTATACCTGCTGGACTCGGGTTGCCAAGGAGCAACCGTCAAAGTTAAGTATGGTCTGGCCTAGATTAGAAGGTCTCCAGAGAGAAGAGCGGGAGACCTGTCTCGGACAATGGAAAAGAATGCAGTGCCAATTCGGGTGAAGTCGGCTGTAGAAAAGGAGTTTAAGAGTTTACTATTGGTTGCCCAGAAAATGACCAGTGATTTGATGGACTCCAACACTTGGAGAGGTTGACAATACTGCCCCCTGAGGATCCTATTGTTTCTCTCTATCCAGATAGACCACAGAGTGGCTGCTATCGTAGCCTTCCATAACAGCAAACCAGATTTGGGCCCCAGGGGATGAGAAGTTTGTTGAACAAGAGAGGGTACCGGCGATGGGGTCATCCAACACCATCCAAAGAGCTGGAGCAACTGCTCCCAAATGATGCTCGCGAGGGGGCAATGAATATACAGATGAAAGTCGTTTTTTTCATCCGTCGCACACATTATGCACCAATTGGGGATTTCTAATCCTCTTTTCTAAAGTTGATCTACAGTTAATATCTTTCCCAAAGGCAGACCCACATAAAGAATTGGATCCTCGGGGGGATGAAGGTGGTCCAGGATTTGGAAATGGTTGCAGCTTTAGGTATAGCGATGGGCGATTGCTGGAAGATGTTATGGTAGGAGGAGACCGAAAAAAGCCCAGAAGTTCTGGGACCCATATTAATTGGTCCTCACCAAGATGAGATAGGGAGAAAAGATGGATAAGGGCCGAAAGGTTTAATAATTCAGGGACCCCAAAATCCCGAAGGGGTCTACGGAAATCAGGGTTCCAGGAACTCGGGGACTGGTAGGGTGTGAAAAGGTCAGCTATAAAGGTGAGGGGGTTTCTAGCGAGGTTGAACAGGTTGGGGAAAGCTTCCGCGAGCGGTGTTTGGCCGATCCAAAGATCTGTCCAAAACCTTATTTTAGTCCCATCTCTAGGGTAAAGGCGAAGAAGAGGAAGGATAGGGGGTCGGCAACAAAACAAAGCTTTCCAGGCACCCGAGGAGTTCTGTGGTGATCTCGAGGGTAGAAACCAAGGGGAGTTGGACAACCGATATTTAAAACATACTACATCATACCAGAGTTGGTTTTGAGAGCATGAGAGCCTCCACCACCATTTACCCAGGAGGGCTAAGTTGTGATTGTGAAGACTGTGGATGCCTAAGCCCCTCTTGTCTTTGGGTAAACAAACCGCCTTCCAAGAGATTAGGTATATTTTCTTGTTAGCACTATCCCCAGACCAGAGGAAATTATGCATGAGGTATTCCGAATGTTGTACTACTGACTTGGGCATCTGGAAGAGTGACATCTGGAAGATAGGGACATTGGTTAAGGTGGATTTGATCAGGGTAGTTCTACCTGCAGGGGAGAGGTAACGGCCCTTCCAGGACACAAGTTTGCGTTCCACCTTATCGATGATGTGACTCCATTGGGGCTTTTCAGGTTTGCATGGCACAAGGGTAGGCCTAGGTACTTTGAGGGGAGAGTCTTGATCCCGCAACCCCAGGAGGTAACGAAGTTTTGTAACGAGATTGGGTCCATAGCTATTCCAATCATTTTGGACTTGGCCAAATTGACTTTGAAGCTAGTGGCAAAATGGAAGGTCTTCAGGGAAAGGTCGAGGGCTTCAGCTTGTAAGGCCAAGGCATCACAGAATAGCAATGTGTCATCAACATATTGAAGGTGGGAGATAGTAGGGATGAGGTTGCTGACTGTGAAGCCTTGCACTAGATCAGAAAGGTAGAGGCGGGAGATTGCTTTGCTAAACACTTCCTACAATGGCAAAGAGAAAAGGGGAGAGGGCTTCTCCCTGCCTAGGGCCCCTGGAGGGGGGGAAGAAACCCCTTGCTGAACCATTAATGAGAATGGAGAAGAAAGGCTGGCGTACAGAACTTTGGATCCATTTATGCCATCTAACCCCAAATCCCATCCTAGACCTAGTATTGTCGAGAAGGTCCCAATTGACATGATCGTAGCCTTTTCCCAGTCTAGCTTGACAACTAAACTGGGTGTTTTGGAGGTGTCTTAAATGTAAGCATTCATGAGCTATCGGTGTGCAGTCAAGAATTTGGCGGTTTTGAACAAAAGCACTTTGGGTTGGAGAGATGATCGAATTTATGACCGTTTTGAGCCTGGAGGCAAGGACTTTGAAGAGAATTTTGTATAAATTGTTAATCGGGCTAATCAGCCTAAAATCTTTGAGGTCTTTGGCCCCTACCACCTTGGGAATTAAGGCTAGGAAATTGGCTTTCATACTTTTATGAATGATTCCTCTATTGTGGATCTCGGCAAAGAAAGAGGAAATGTCGGGACAAAGAGATTCCCATAACTGCTTAAATATTGCCATTGGGAATTCATCAGGGCCTGGAGTCCGGTATTAGCCAAGGTGCTTGAGAGGGAGAAATGGATTGAAAAGAGAAATCAAACAGAAAGGATGAAGAGCAATCTCGGGCTTTGAAGAGCTTCTGGAAGTAATCTAGGATGGAGTTTTCTATTAAGAGGGGCTCGTCAACAAGTACTCCCTCGGAACAGATTTGGGAGATGGTATTGTCCCGTTGGCGGCAATTGGCAATCCTATGTGTCTCCAAGAGATATGGGAGACCCTACTGGGCTGTGTGATTTCTTCAAAAATATTATCAAGTCTTCAAGGCCAGGAGTCTGAGCCTAAGGCCCAAGATATAACACAAAAAGAGTCACCTTCGATACTGAGGGATTGGCCCCAAGAAGGTTCAAATTTCCTGAGTCCTTCCCAAACGGCTAATTCTTCCGCAGTGATAGAATCTGAGTGCCCAAATGGGAGAGAGAGAAGGAGAATAGAGTAGTGTTGTCCTTGTTGCGAAATAGCCCTCCTATACCTGCTGGGCCAGGGTCCTGAGACAGCACCCATCGAAATTTAATTTGATTTGGTGGGCATGGTGATAAAATTTCTTCTGTATTGAAATGATCAAATCAATATCCAATATGAAACATTGGAAGAAAAAGTCTCCATAAACAAATGCCACCTAGCCACATGAACAACAGATAAATTGGCGATTCTTCGGTGTCATACCTGTTGGATCTAAGATTTCTAAAAAACTAGAATATGAGAACACAGCATATCAAAAAAAGTTCTCTTAGAAACCAAACAATGTCTCCATGCTCAAGGGGAGACACCTGCTGTGCTTAGCAAACAGGCTCTGGTCCCTGCGGTTCATACAAGAAATTCACTAGAGACCTAAAGGAAATCCATCGAAGAACTACCACTAGATCTCATCACAACTCCAAGTTTTTTCATTTCTTGCACAACAAGAGTATGAAGATGGTTCTCTTACTGGAAGGCCATCGTGCTCTTGTGAGTTCATGTGTGCATGCTTGCATGTGTGTGTGTGAGAGAGAGAGAGAGAATTAGATCTGCAAACTGCTGCAAAAAGTTCAGAACAAGATATAGTAAATACATCTTATTGCAGGGACGCTTGATACCCAGAGTTGTCCTCCATTGAATATTTTTAACAAAGGAAATAGTTTATATAAGGGTGAAGCTCTAAACAATCAAATTAAGGCAAACTGCAAAAATTCACTAGAAGAGGTTTCAATGACCAAAAGTTCTCACATCCACATCTCAACATCAAGAATATATGGATATGAGAAAAAATAGCTTTCAAATCTTGGAAATACTGCATCTTGTAATGCATTTTCTTGACCATCAATTTTTAAGATTTTCAATTGTTCATACATCCCTTCAATCTACACTGTTTTGAAGCTTTAAGTTTAATAATTAGAGATGAAAACAAATTTTTAGGACATCACAAAGATTTCCAGTATTGAAACAGCATGTTTTGACACCATTTGAAGGTGCACCTTACTTTGATTGTTTAGGCATTATACAAACCACATCCTTTAAATAATAATAATAATAACAATAATAATGATGATAACAATAATAATAAATAATAATGGAGCAAGCATAAAGAGATTGAGTGAATGCGATAACACATTTTATTGCCAGTAATGCACAATACCAATTGTTGTCCTCCTTGGATACTGAAATCATGGAATGAATGAGTTGATTCATAACCAGATATCAGAAGATACAGGGGAGAAGAGCACCTTCTCCTCACGTTAGATAAGAAGATCCTGAAACATTACATAGAATACAGCAATCAGACATTAAATGACTGATTATGCTCCCATCTTCAACCCGGAGTCTCTTGCTATGCCTGTTCCACAAATGAACAGCATAACTCACCCTTCGAATGTGACCTAATTTTGCAAGCACCCATTTCAATTCCTTCCCATTACTCGGCCTCCTAAAGAAGCTTGGAATCTTACTCCAATTCACTGGATAAAAGGCCATGGGAGGCAGAACAGTGAAGTTGAAATCAGGCCTCTCAACCACCCTCGAGACCAGATAAGGCCCATTGTGTCCCCACTTATTCCCATCGAAGGTGAGCGCAAATTCCTCGATGAACTTGTACAGTAGAGGGTGGCTCTTGTCGAACGCCATCACTGCATTGTTCAACCTGCTCCATTTCCCAGTCTCCAAGTCAACGGTTTGTGCCCCAATTGCATTTCTCAAACCAGCAAAGCTCTTCATCACTATAACATCAGAGTCAATGTATACCCCCCCAAATTTATACAAAACAGCAAGTCTCAACAGATTAGAGAGGTTTTGGCCCAAAGAGACTTCACCTGGGTCCACATTTCCCCTCCCGAGCTGATTGAACCAGGCCTCTGCATCGGTTTTTCGAAAGAGGTATTCGAAATCAGGGGCAATTGCCATTACCCTGTAACCTTTGGTCAACAGTGGTCTCAAAACAATGTTCCCTTTCCTCGAATCCATGGCTTTCGAGAGTATGAGAACGCAGGCACTTGGGTGAGACTTGAACACACTCTCCACTGTGAAAAACTCTCTAAAACCAAAGGATTCGAGAGAAGAAATCCAAGTCATGAAGAAACGGAGCTTACATGAATTAGAACTGAAGAAACCCTTTGCTCTTGCAGAAAACTGCTTAGTGAGAGGCCCGGACTTGAGAATCCTGAACCTGGACCTGTTCTCTTTGAACCACCTGATCCTGCCATCTACAGTGGTGTTTAATGGGGGAACTAAAGAGTTCTCATTGTCCTCTTTTTGTGTCAAAAGCTTGAAACTCCGATGGGTTTCAAGCTCTTTAGAGAGATGATTTTCTTCTTCCTTGATAGCATACATGACTGAAACTGTTCTTGGACCCCTGACTGTGTTTTCCGGTGAGAAATGGATGTTTTCCGATGTGGGATTTGCCGGAAAAGGGAGATGGAGGCAGAAGATGGTGACCCCATTGCAGGCCGACACTAAGAGCAAGAGAGCAGCTAGAGAGAAGGTGGGTAAGAAGAAAAAGAGCGAGAAACTTCTCAGTGAAGAAGAAGTAGTGATCTTTTGAAGAATCAAACGAAGGGTTCTGAGCATGACCACCATGACTCACTGCTCTCATCTTCTCAGAAATGGGCTGCCATTAACGGCGCGGCAAAATCAAAAATGCATTTCACTTTCTAGAGAGACAAAAAGAGGATTTCTCAAGAAAAAGAGCTTTTTTAGAGAGAGAAAGGGAATCGGTCGAAGAAGAAACCGACGTGCCATTTCATGGCGCGGCAAAAATCAAACACGCATTTTTTCATTTTGAAGAGAGAAGAGAAACGAGGAGGAAGGAGGCCATAAAAACATATAAAGGACAGCTTTTTATAAAGGTTGCCTCCTTATACTGTAGAAGTAGGCACACCTCCAAAACTTGTTTAGAGTTGTCGTTCTCGTGTTAAAAACTTGCGAAGACTTAGATTTTTTTTTTTTTTTTTTTTATTCCTAGTTATAAAAGTTAAAATTATAAAATGGTATAGTTTGAGCATATTGATGAATACTTGAAAATCTTAAAAATAGTAATTAATTACACGATATATTATGTTTTTGGATTTAGAATTATTTTTTCCCTTCATAATTATATATCTAGATAGTTGGGATGGTCAATTAGAAGGTACCCAAAAAAATACAAATTTCTAGTCGCTTTGAATTTCGAGGATATCATATTGTATTTTTTATGTGCGAAATAAAATAACCAAAAAAAAATTATCCTTTCAAGGGAGCAAAATATACATTTGGTCCCTTGGGTACACCCTATACAGAGGCATTGTTGGAACATAGATACTACTACTTTATGATAAGGTGGTCACAATCGGTCATAACCGTCATATGTAAAATCTAATTTCCATGTATTAAACATTGATAAATTTTCTTTAGAAGTGCACACATATTGCCACCAGGTTTTCGTGTACTTCTTAAACCTAAAGTAAATGACTTTAATATATGACTTTTTGTTAAATTTGGAGTGTAACGGATAAGGTAAAAATAAATAAATAATATATATATATATATAAAGTATATAATAATACCATTTACTTTTGGTACAAGGTGGTCACAATTAATCTTGACTAATAGATGTGAAATTGTGTAGCTACATTTATTTTATTAGCCACACTTAAATTTCAAAATAAATTTTTTCGTACTTTGTGACATACCCACTATCAAATTTCACATCGGATGATTGTAAGTAATTGTGACCTATATATATATATGTGTGTGTGTGTGTGTGTGTGTGTGTGTGGAAAAAGCTTCTGTGAGCCAATGGGCTCACAATAAAAAATGAGCCCAATGACTTAGATTGAATCTAGGCCAATCTAACGATCACGGACGTCCGATAGACCAAATTCAATCTGGACCATTGGACTTATATTATTATGTGAGCTAGTGGACTCACCCTAACATCTTCCTATATATATATATATATATATATATAAATAATGAGTCCCTAAATAATCAAACTAAGACGTATATCAAAATTTCATTAGAATAAGTTGTTTTGGTGCTGAAAAACTCTCAAATTTGATCATCTCAACCTTTAGATATATGGACATAAAAAAAAATAGACTTTGAAGTCTTAGAAATAGTGCATCTTGTAATGCATTATCTAGACTGTCAATTTTCAAGATTTTCAAGTATTCATAGATCTACTTGATCTATCGAGGCCTTAAATTTTATAATTAGATATTAAGATATGTTTATGACCATCATAAAGATTTTCGATACTGAAAAATGACATCTTTCGATACTATTTGAAGATGTGCCTTACTTTGATTGTTGAGGGCATCAACCTTATACAAACTCACCCACAAAAAAAATGACTACATACAATGAGACTGTTAACTTTTGATACAAGGAGGTCGCAATTATTTGCAACCATCAGATGTGAAATCCGATAGATTGGATGTGTCACAAAGTTCGAAAAAAATTATTTTGAAGTATGAGATTGATCAATGGAATAAATACGGCCATCTAATTTCACATCCAATGGTCAAAATTAATTGTGACCATCTTGTATCAAAGATAAATGATCACATTGTATACTTTACCAAAAAAAACAATTTAAAAAAAAAACTGACATGCCCCCTAAAAAAAAGTATGGCAATGGATCCAATGGTCAAAATTAATTGTGACCATCTTGTATCAAAGATAAATGATCACATTGTATACTTTACCAAAAAAAACAATTTAAAAAAAAAAACTGACATGCCCCCTAAAAAAAAGTATGGCAATGGATCTAAGTGTAAGAGATTTTGAAGTTCTCTTTTCTTCATTAAATGATTCTAAAGTCAATCTCAAAATTCGAGATCAAGAAAATCATTGATCTTTTATTAGAGGGAGCAAATGTGCAACTTGCTTTGAGGACCATATGGCATGAGAAAAAACAATGCTTTCTTTATGCATTCCATAAAAAATGAGGAAAGAAAATCGGTCGTGCAGGGATATGTACCATTGTTATAAACACGGTGACTTTTTCTCAATATCATGCATTCAGATCATCAAGTCACTTTCCACGAAGCATTATTAAAAGAAGGAAAAGGCATTCACCATGGACCCAGACCAAGTTGTCAGCTATCCACTTTCTTTCCCTAATATTTTTTTTGAAGGGAGAGGTGATTGAATTTCAATTAATAATTACAATTGTATTTGTGTTTAAATTTTAATTTTTTTTATAAATCTAAATAATTTAAAATTTGGAGTATTTATTTATAAAAATAAGAGAACTTAGTAAAAATATCCAAAAACTCACAAAAATTAAATGGATCAAAATACATGTGAAACTTTTAGGGGTATCTTAGTTAATTTAGTTTTGTGAATTATTAAAAAAAAAAAAGTATTAAGTGCGCCTTGATGAGAATTGTGGACATCTAAAATTTCACGTGATTTTGATTTGTATAAACAAATAAAAATTAAATATAAAATATGGTCATGACCGTCAAATCGGTCTAAATTCAATATAATTGTTGGGCTTACATTATTTCATTAGCCCAGGATTTTACTTTTTAAAAAAGTAAAGTTTATACAATTGAGCAAGCAATCATTTTTAGTCAAAAGTAAAGTTTATACAATTGAGCAAGCAAGCATTTTTAGTCAGGGTTAAAAACTTCGGGCCCTCAATCCTCAACGGGCCATTTCCACATTCAATAGTTTTGTATCATCGATTATCCATTCATATTGTTGTTTAGAACGACACATATATAAAAAACAAGAATAAATAAATAAAAAATTATTGCAGGGAATCAAGTGCTTCAAAGCAGTGTTATCACATTCGCTTCGTTTCTGCCGAAGAGGCCGAAGCTTTTACATTTTAGGCATAAACCGAAGCGAAGCGAAGCCTGGAGTGCTGCTTCGATCAGATTCAGGTTGCTTCGGTCGGATTCGGGTCTGCTTCTGCCAGCAAAGAAATAGCTATATAAACTTTTTTTAAATAATATTTTTAATTTTATTATTTGTAATTTTTTTCTATTATTTATATATTATACATAAATATCTAATTAATTTATATTAAAATTATAAAATTTGAATTCTTCACCCAATTGACCAAAGCACTTAATTGTTTACTTTTTCTTATCAAACCGAAGAAGACTCAGAAGCAAATCCGACAACATTGCTTCAGAGCTTCTCTAAACCCAGATCGTCACCCACCGATTCGGTGATTTGACTTAATTTGAATAGTTTATAAAACCCTAGTTTTAAATTGTTAGAAAAGTCACATCTTGAGGTCCACGAAATTTCAGCTTTTAGTATTTTTACTGGTTTATGACAACCCATCTAGCGCAATAAGCAAAATGAAATTCAGGGATTGAATTTGGAGCACCGCATTTCTGGCCGAATTTGGACCAAAATTGGAACACAAATTTCCATATACTACAATGGAACCAATCCAAAAGGCAGTGGCCGGCCTTGATCTTATTTGGTTCGTCCTTGCAAAGAACTAACCAAGAACCCTAATCGTTGTCGGGCAAAGAGTTTGGACCTGATCCAAAAATTAAAATACTTATATATTTAATTATATTTAAATATTATATATATTGAGATTCAAAAAATATTATTAGATTCAAATAGTGTTTGGGTTCAAAATTTGATCCAGACTCAACTTGTCAAGTCCAATTTTTGAACCTATACCGAGACTCATATCATGTCGAGTCCAATTTCTGAACCCATACCGAGACTCATATCAGGTCTACCACTTGGGTCTTTGGTCCATGGCCGCCCCTAATCATTGTGTATTAGAGAGAGACAGGGAGAGAGAGAATATGGGTGTGGTGCATTAAAGGCTGTTTTAAGGATAAAAAAGAGATCAAAGGAAGGGTTAATTTAGAGGTTGATTCGTTGTGTGATGATTTTTTCTCTTTTTTGGATTTATTTATTTATTTGAATATTTATGTTCTTGGAGTTTTATGGAATAGAGTATTTAGATACATTTTTCTTCTCCTCTTCTGCAGCGTGATTATTTCATTATTTAGATTGATGGGTCGCAAAGGACAAAAGGGTTCCATTTAATGCCGTGCATTGGTCACCGACATTTCTTTCGGCTCACTCTTTAATAAGCTTTTTGCTTTTCAAAAGTGCGGATACTATGCATGTGTATATATCGGAGACTTAAAAATGGATCCGTGATCCGGATTGGGCACCTAAAAATCGGTCTGAATTGGTAAATCGACAGTTTGGATCACTGTTTTGCTATACGAAATAAATTGTGAATTGGTAAAAAAATACATAAAAAAACAGTGAACTAATAAAAAAATCGGTGCGGATTGGTGAATCGACGGTCCAAATTGTCATTTTACTGTACATAAGTGTTGTTTTACTGTGCAAAACCACCATTAACCTTATAGACTCGGTCGTTTTTCTATATATATGCGGAATCAGAATAAGGTGACCGATTCATTCATCAGAGTGGGCGCCTCTTTGCCAACTTGGCATTTTTTAAATCGCTGGTATAAATCGTATGGAGTAGCCTATTGCTAGTTGTATCCACTGCAAACCTACATCCGCCGGTTGATTATAGAAGCATCATCTATATTATATTGTTGCAGTCAGGAATCTCTTGATTTGTGATCATTCAATCTCAATCCAATATCTATTATATCATAGTGTTATTTCCATGTGAAAATGCTTCTTCATTGGTTTTTACATGCTTTTTCTTATAGGTTGTCATATCTTTTTGTGGTCTCTTTAAAAAAAAAAAAAGGTCATTGCATGTCCTCCAAGACACATATGTATTTAACTTTTTTGAATGATTAAATGAATTTTGAAGAGATATTTTGATTTAGGGGTAAAATTGGATGGGGCCTCTAATATTAGTGATATTTTTTTATTAAAAATTTTATGTAATTTATTAAAAAATTATCGCAAATATGCCTTAATTTAAGGTTAATTAAAAAACCCCAAATTTTTGTTTATCTCGTCTATACCATTTTTCCTCATTTTTTGCTTTTTTTTTTTACCAAAATGACCTTCACGGTAGTAAAACTACTGTAATACATATTCTTTTATACAATATTTAAAATACCGTAGTAACTTCAAATAATATTACGCTACTTTAAGTACTGTAAAACTCTGGCAATACGTGAAGCCAATTACGGTACTTTAAGTACTGTAAACACTAAAACCTATTATACGGTATTTTAAGTACCGTAAAAACTAACCCATCTTATATGGTACTCAAAATGCTGTAAATTTTGTTCTCATCATGTTTGTATTTATCTCTTTCATCTCTTATTTATCTTTAATTATTTTTAATATTTATCTCTTCTTTCTCTCTCTAATTATTTTTTATCTCTTCTTTCATTTTTTTTATATCTCTTATTTCTCTATCTAGAATCTCATCATCGTTTTCTTAGGTAGATCATGTCATCTATTTTACATAGCCAAAGTCAGTGTTTCATTACTATCTCTAAGAAAATGATGATGAGATTGTAGAGAGAGAAAGAAGAGATAAAAAGAATTAGAGAAAGAAAGAAGAGATAAATATTAAAACGAATTAGAAAAAAAAATAATAGATAAACATAAAAAGAATTAGAGATGAAATAGATAAACATAAAAAAAAAAAGTTACAACATTTTAAGTGCCGTATAACATATTTTAGTATTTACAGTGCTTAAAATGCCGTATAAGGGTTACTGTAAGTTTACGGTACTTAAAGTACCGTATAAAATGTCCTCAAGTATTTAGTATGATATAAAATTCAAAATGCCTTCAAGTATTTAGTACTGTATAAAATTCTTTAAGTATTACGATACGTAAAGTACCGTATAACACGCACTAACTATTACTTAATACGATTACCATGAAGGTCATTTTGGTAAAAAAAAAATCGAAAATGAGGAAAAAATGTGTAGACGACATAAAAAAAAGTTTGGGGTCTTTTTTTTTTCCAATTAAACTTAAATTAAAGTATATTTGTGATAATTTTCCTAATTTATTATGCTGATTTTTCAGATTTAAAATTTTAATATCGAAAGATATAATGAATCGTAGAGACATTTTACTCATTTACTTGAATTTTTAAAAATTTCTATAATTATCTTTTACTCTCCCCCTTTTATCTTATTTTTTAAATATTTTTGTTAATTTTTAAAATTAGCTCACCGGTTACTAGTGAACGGGTGTGATGCCACCGGTCAAAGTTTCACTTCACCGGTCCAGACTTGACACAGTAGCATTAATACAGTAAATTTAAGTATAAATTTATTTATTTACTCATAGAAAAAAACTATATAAGGTTGACTCTTTAAATTGTAAAATTACTGAAAAAGGCCGTTTTGAGGATCCAAAACCATCTAATTGGTCATCTTGACGTTGAGATACATTAATATGGTTTAAAAAAAAATTTAAATTATCAAAAATAGAATATCTTACAAAAACATTATCTACTGGGTATATTTTCAAGATTTTCGTGCAATTATTTATGGAGTTTAAATTTTCTTAACTAAGGATCTGCTTCAGAGTTTTAGAGCTGCAGCCACTGAGGTTTACGGTTTTGCAGTAATATCCATTTTTCAATGGAGATGCGGCCCTCCTCTTCCATCTGCTAAGTCTGGAGGCATCCATGGCCATGGCCATGTCATCCTTCTCTCTTTCTCTCCCTGCTACTAATCCTAAAATTTACAGTGGCAGCTCCTTTTCAGTAGTCCTCCATCGTCGACCACGCCCCACCAGAAGCAGAGCCGCCTCCTGCTCTTTGTCCGACCCTTTCGTCATTGAAATTGCAGAGAAGCTTGAGGACTCTCTCTCCTCCTCCTCCTCCTCCTCCTCTTCGCCATCTCTCCAGAAGCTCAGAGACCTCTCCTCCCAATCCCTCCTCACCCACCCATGGCCAACCCCCAAACAGGAGCCATTCCGCTTCTACTCTTTCCATTCTCTCACTAAAACACCAATCTTCCCCACCTCCTCCCCACCTCCGCTTGCACTTCCACCAACGGCACTTTCTCTCTCCTCCCCTCTCCCCATCCTCATCCCCATCCTCGACGGTCACTTCATCCCCTCTCTCTCTCATCTCTCCTCCACGACCCCGCCCGAACTCTACATCGGCAGCATATCCCAAAATCTCCCCCCTTCTTTCTCCTCTCACCTCCTCGACTATCTCTCTCACCCCCCGGAAGGGGACCTTTTCTCCGCCCTCAATGGAGTCGGGGCACCTGACGTGCTCCTCATCCATGTGCCCTCAGGTTGCAAAGTCCAAGACCCGATTCACCTCGTCTTTCTCTCTTCTCAAGGACGAGGGGGTAGTGACAGTGATCACTGCATTCCGATGTCGAACCCGAGGGTCCTAATATGGGTAGAGAAAGACGGAGAGGTCTCGATTGTGGAGGAATATGCAGGGGATGGCTCACCTGAAAGGAGGGCTTATTGGACTAATTCAGTTGTAGAGTTTGTGATGGACAATTGCGCCAGTGTTTCACACTCTTACATTCAAGGACAGGCCGAGAATTCTACCCATATCAAGTGGACCTTTGTTCACCAGGCATGTTCCGTTCTTCCTGCTACTCTTTCAGAAGTTGGAACTTTTGTTCTTCATTTATTTCTTGTGTTGCTTGCCCTGGCAATAATAACACCACCATACAAACGCCTGCTACAAATTAGAACCCGACTAACATTAAATTTCAGAAAAAAAAGTAAAGAGAAAAAGGACTGAGCAGCCCACTTTGTTTGATGAGAGGAAAGATGTTTGTCTGCTTGATAATTATATGTACTTAATTTGTGATATAATTCGAAGTTACCAATATTGTATTGTCATTGCTTGCATTAGCAATAAGAGCATACAAACAACTACTGCAAATTAGAACCCCATTAAATTAAATAAAAAAGGAAGAAAGAAAAAGAATTGAGAACCCCACTTTGTTGGATGAGTGGGAAAGATGCTTGGTAATCATATGTACTTAATTTATGATACAATTCAAATTACCAATATTGTATTGTCACTGTTGCTAGCATTAGCAATAAGAACACCACCATACAAATGCCTGCTACAAATTAGAATCCCATTAAAGATAAATGAGAAAAAAAATGAGAAAGAAAAAGAAGTGAGAACCCACTTTCTTTGATGAGAGGAAAGATGCTTGATAGCCATATGTGCTTAATTTGTGAGAAAATTCAAATTACGATTACTGTATTATCGTTGTTTCAGGGTTCATGTAGCAGCTATACACTTGTGGAAACAAGTACAGGCGGAGAATTGAGTAGACATAATCTCCATATTCAGCAAATGGGGCCTGACACTGTAACTGAGCTATCAACATTTCACTTGTGTGGAAGTAAGCAGATACAAGACTTACACAGCAGATTGGTTTTGGATCATCCTAGAGGTTATAGCAGGCAGCTTCACAAATGCATAGTGGCTAATTCTTCGGCTAAGGCAGTATTTGATGGCAATATCAAGGTTAACAGGTACCCATCTACATTATCTCAAAAAAAATTATTTTCTCTCCCAAAAATCAGCTACCATCTACATTCTTTCCTTTGCTTGTGTCTTCGTTATAAGAGGTTATAAACATTTTTGACAGATAAAAGTTTGGCAGACCAAAACTAAGAGGATGGTTCTGTTATGATGCCTTATTATTTGATTATAGTAATTCTTCAATTCAAGAGTTATAACTTACATTCATATTGAAGTGTCCTGGACCGATATGTTAATCTGTTTGCTACTTTCTTACTGGTGCTCTCAGTTTCTTCCATGTGCTGGTGCTAAATATTGCCCATGTATACTTGAATTTAAAGGTCATATGTAAACTTCAATTAAGTGGTCATGTTGTGGGGGTGTACCCTGTAATTGTTTTTAAAAAGGAAGTGGTTATTGGACTTATTATTGGGAATTACGGCTAGTCAACATGCCTGAATGAGAAGCCTTAAGGTGACTCAACTCCTTTTGATACTTGTTCCTTTAAACAGATAGATTGAGTTTTTCAGTGTAAATAGAGCTTGGTTCTGTTCCGGCCCTAGAATAATAGTTAATGTGATGTTTGGAGACGATCAGTTCTAATGCAATGGTCTAGAATCATTTGGTTGTACTGTTTGAATAGTGTTCCTTTGAATGGATACCATATATGTCATAGGTAAGTAGCTATTGGGGCACCGTGACATGTTTGTACAACCTTGACACTTCTGTACAACCTTGACATATTTGTACAACCTTGACACCTTGATACACAAGAAATAAGAGAAACTGCATGAGGTCCATTTGTAGAAAGGGTCAAAATTTTTTGTACAACCTTGACACCGTGATACACAAGTATTTTTTGTATTTGGAAACGGTCAAAATTTTTTTTTCTTGGGTGAGTAAAAAGGTCTACTTGTTAGATAACAGGTATGAGGTGGTTCTATAGTAAGGGTCTTTGTAGTTTTTTTTTTTTAAGTTAGAACTTACTGTTGGGGAAGCTGGATTACAAGCATTGATTGTCTTGTGGGTTATTCGAGGGTCCCTATTGCCACTTTGCCATAATGAATCCACCTATTTTCATCAGCTCTAACTAGATTTCGAGCTTTATTCAAACGTATTGATTATTTTGTTTTTGTCTTTGTATACTACGGGATCAGTTGAAGATGATAAACAACAAATGCATAACATATAGTTCGCTTAAGTTCTAGACGGATGAGAATTGACTCCCTTATCTGAATTTCTTATGTAAGTTTGGTCAACCTTTGAAAACGTGAGATCTTATATTCTGCATTTCCTAGGCTGTGCACAGAACTTTATGACACACATCCCTGGAATTTGGATTAGATAATGTTGAGAGAAATCAGTTCTTCAAATTGTCCAATGCCCCCATGAATTGTCCCATTTTCAGGCCATTGGCCTTGTTCTCTGGGGCTTTTTGAGGCCCCAAGTGATATATGGTCGAGATACAAGCCTCTGCAAACTCATGAGATGCATCTTTACCATAAATTTTGCCAGAAAAGATTGTGTTTAAATTTGCATTGTTTTTGTTTATATGGTATGCATTTGAATTTGAAGGGGTCGTCACTTGGTGTGATGGTAAAATGGCTCCAGTCGCCAGCACAAGAGCGCGGGTTCAAGTCTTGAGAGCGGCCACTTTGTGCATAAAAAGCCAAAGGTTAGGACCGTTTCCAGCTCACCTGTCACGCCCCAAGAATTTACAATAATGATATTCCTGAGATGTGACAGTCAAAACATATATACATCTCTTGATAGGACAAATTTACAGTGGCGAATAAAGAAACAAAAGAAAGTTTAAGCACAAC